ATCAATTTCTTTCCCTGACTCTTGATATCGTTACGTGTCAAAATTTTCTTTGGGTGCAACTATAATTACGACGTTTTCGCTACAGCGAGCGTTGTAAGAGAAAATAATTAAATCCTGTTTGTCGCTAAAATCCCAACTAATCTTCCTCTATACTGAAATTAATGTAAGAAACAACACGATGATTACGCTAGTTTATTAGGCAACTAGTCTTGTTAGAGCTCGAAAAAGAGACCAGGTTTATGAAACAAGTTTCTAATGTTACATTTTTTTCAAGTGGCAAGAGAACAGGAAAGACGACGAATATGAGCCTCACTTTAAACAGATTTGTTATCAAATCGATCCAAGAAAAAATAATGGGCCCCATTATTTTCTTTTGATTGATCTCAACCTATACCTCGAGTTTTTATGCAAATTTCCTTTCTGTTTCTTCTTCAAGGGTTACTCAGAGGAAAAAAATTGGTCTGCCAAACATCACGTACGTTTACGGTTGTCTTGTGTTTCAAACATGCAATTCCATGTCTCAGTCATCAAAGCTGTCTGAAAAAATAATGTTTTACGAAAGGAAAGCCGGTGAGTGGAAATAAGTGGACACCTAATTCTTTTCGTCGTTCATCCAAAAGCCAAACAGCCAGATTGAAAGACTTCTTGCTGTCGATACTTTTCGGTATTTCTAGTTACTACACTGAAAAGACTTTACATTTTTTGTTAGGAGAAAATTAGTCTCACGCTTCACGAGAAAAAAAGAAAATGTCATTTGTAACGAAACTTATTTCATTTTCTCCATTACTATTATCATTCTCATCATTAGGAAACGATGTTATAAATAAGTTTTCAAACTATCATCATATTGAATTTTTGTACCGAAACCCGACTGAACAAATCCGGTTAGGAAATTCTATTCGCGATTCATTGTTGTGAGTATGGAATGACAATATATAATAAGGAAACAGATACAAGAAATTTACTGTAATAATTAATTATTTGACTGGTTTTATCTGCCACCGAAATTCTACAGCGCAAATGAAAAACAGATATCGGAACAGAGAGAACTTTTCGTACATTCCCGGAAAGTTGGAATTCTTCATCGACAATTGTTATTCTAGACACATCAACTTTGTGTTGGTGTCTATACATTTGTAGTCCCGATCATAATTATTCTCTCTGATATAAATTATCTCTGATAATGTTCGGGTTACTTTTATTCATCAGTTGATAAAGAAATTTATGTACGTTGTAAATTTGCAATGATGGCCAACCTTGGTGAATTCTTCTCAACAATAGCAGATGAATATGGTAACAAATCGCCGAAAATGTAGGAATTTTTCAGGGCATGAGATTCTTGGAATTGATACGTAAAGTTTTGTATGAGCGTAATTCATTGTTCTCTGGGAACCTAGTGTATAACGAGTTTGACATGCATGCTCAAATGTACTTGAATGTGAGTCTTTTTGGTTTGCACAACTAAGGAGACGATCGATGTATGGCGCTTGAACTAACATGCAGTCACTCTTAAGCAGAACAGGATCAAATGCGCATAAAAGGAAAAGACTCCTCATTTGTTTTGAACGTACGCAGGCTGATGGCTTGGAAGGGCACTTTAGAGAACAATAAATTTCGCACGCGTGGTCCATAACCCAGATTTTATATCCGAATCTTGCCTCTTTGGCGATGATCTAATACCCTGAGTTGATATCAATTTCCTGTGTAACTATGAAAATAGATCTGCTCTCCATTTTCTTTGTATTTCCTCATTAACACTCCACAATTGCATAACAAACGAACCTAGAGAACGCTGTACAAACCTAAAATATCTGCAATGTGATATATAAGGCCAACGACTTAACTTCTAAAAATACCAGCCACAAATGACCAACCGAGAAATTTTCTTTTCATTCTGTTAATGGGTTTTATTTCATCGTGTGAGCATCATCCATTAATTAGGACAGAAAGAATTTTTCAAGATCTTGACGATGTTCCAAAAAATGTCCAAATTTATAATCACCACGCCCAATGATAATATGCAATATGCCATCTGCAATATTCCATATGCATGACAGATTGCATCGACTTATACAATACATTGGGGTATCAGCAAGTAGATTAATGTTACCTAATTTTAAATCCGTAGTATTTTTTTTATTATCTGGAGCCGTTAGACATTTGTCAAGTTAAAAGTTTTCTGCTTACAGCTGAAATCAAACGGAAATGTTTCCCAAATTCTCCGCTTGTCCTCTTTACTGTATTATTTAACTGGACTAAATATCACTTGACATTTTTTCATTTGAAGGTTTCCGTAATAAAAACGCCGGATTTGCTTCTCTGGATATTTTCCTTAAAACTATTCTGTTATTCACCCTTCCGTACTACGGCATTTTTCATACCTTCTGTTTTCTTCGTGATTTTACCAGAAAACTTGTACTAAATATATCTTTTCTACACCATTAAGAATTGCCAAACTGTTGAAACACATCTTGGTCCTTCCATTATCATTTCCTTTGTCTAACTTTAAATTCTAACAGATTACCGACCTTGAAAGCAAATGGAAAGGTAAATTGTCATTTTCAACAACTTGAGTGGCCGTCCGTCTTAAAATTGTCTGTTGCTTTGGTGAGAAAACAAAAATGCTAATAAAAGACGCTGACTTATGAACCCCCCTCTTAAACGGCCGTCAGTTCGTCTGTGGAGATTTGTCAAGTAAAGCGAGTATTTTCGAGATTTTAAAACTCTTGTCAAACAGGGTTATCCTCAAAACGCTTTTGAATTGTCGCATTAAACTTTTAATTCAATTGAACGGAGTTTCTAGTATCAAAATTTCTGCCCAGCAACATTGCGTGCAGTGTAACTGCTATTTCGAGAACTTGCTTCTATGTAAACGGTTCTCCATTAGGCCGAGAAGCAGATTAAAGTTTAAAGCGTTTAGCAAAAATAAGATACCATCGGTTCTCAGCCGATAAGAGATTTGACATCCCACGAGGATCAGGCGAAAATCAACACTGAAAAACAAATCGTTGAAATTCATATAAAAACAAGAAATTTGGTATTTGGAATGATCACTATGGAAAGTCCATATGAAAGAAAATTTTTTCATTAGAATTGAATAGATCCTTACAGCGTTTAAAAAGTGAAGACCCTTTGATCGCTAGTATTGAGTAACCCCCACTTGATCTCACACTTAAAGTTGAAGTTGTATATCTCCAGCTTGCACGCCAACGCGGTCAATACCAGCAAATATTTTCCTGTTAAGAAGTACTATGGAAAGAGACAAAGGAGTGAAGAGCAGAATTTGAAATTTTTCATTCATTATGCAATAATAGTCCGCCTTTCTTTCTACCAAACTAACCAATTTCGTGATTTTTCGAATGAATTTCATGTTCCCCGACTAAAAGGCGTTATTTGCAATCAAAACAGAGACGCGAACGGCTGCCTCCGCTTCCGGCTTATAACCACAAGTAAAAGTTTAAAAACTTTTTAATGAGTCATATCAAACTTCAACTATTGATTTAACTGGTTGTTTGGAAGACAAAGTGAAGAACTAGAAGGTGTTACATTCATTTTTCGCATATCCGAACCCGCTTTTGTTTAAAAAACAGTTGTCACTTGAAAAGACCTGTTATCCCAGTTGCGGTTAAGACAAAGTTTGCTTCCTCAGTTCTCTGGTGATGTTATGCTCAAACTATTTCCTGCAGACGTGAGGAGCCCTTAAAATTGATTTTTTCCTGTATATTTATAAAACTGTGGTGCCATTTTTGGAAGGTTATTTTTAAACAGACGTAAAAAACCTTATCTGTTCTACAAACGTTTTCGCGAAAAAAAAAAACTTAAACACAAACAAACAAGTAATCAGAAAAGATTCTTCAAAACACTATCCACGAATAATGACAACAAAGTGTGCTTTTTTATACCGCTTTGAGTTAAAAACGGAATACAATAGCAAATTGTTTTCCAAGCATTTTTTTTCACGCGGAAAGGTTTATAGGTGTGTATTAGCAAATTAGACCCTACATCTATCGTCGTCTGAAAGTATGTGCCATCGATAAGGTAGGGTGACTCTACAATACTTTTAACCTGATGGAAAAGGGGCCTGATCCAATTTGGGTGATCACAATAAATTATACTTCTGATTATGTGATTTGACACGACTGAAAGAAAAATGGACAGTAGATTTTATTATCAACACGTGTATACCAGTTTCATGCGAAAAACACGCGCTATTTAAGTGAATCGGAGGTGAAAAATTAACAACGCCGAAAAATGGTTAAGTAGGCAAAACGATGAAATTTGCAAAGTTGGAGCCTGGGGTATTATTCCTTCAGCAATGCTATGGATGTTATTTTTTTCTTTTCAAAATAAAGTAGAGCATTTGAAAACAATTTTAAAGCCGGGGGAATAGGCAATATTAAGCTCTAAAATCAACAACGGGCTTCTAAAATTAAAAAGGCAAAACAAAGTTCCTTTGTCAAAATCTCAACTTAGGGAGATAGAGAGCTGTTTCGGAAATTCTTAGCAAAACAAAAATAGTTCTGTTGCAAACAAAGTCATTTATATAGCTACACATGGTGAAATCGTCAAGACTGAGTCATTTCATATTTGCAGCTGAAATAGTCTAGTACGTTCCATGCTTATTTGACCCTTCAGCTATCCCATTTCACAGCCTAAACCCAGCAAGAGGTCGTGAAATTTATATCTTCGATGTTGACAAAAGGAAATACTGGGAAACTCAGCTTTGCAAAAGAACGCTTAAAATCGGGGAAAGCTACCATACATTCCTAGACCCTCCACTCCTCTGTAGTAAAATAATTTATCATAGAATAATTGTTGACATGGTTCACACACTTTATATATATATATATATAAACGCATTATCACGAAACACAAGCGTAGTGGGTACATGTCTGTTTAAGAGAGGCCGGACAGTTATTTTAATTTAATTTTCTACTTTGATGACAAAGAGTGCCCTATCAAGCCAGCTAGACAAAGTGAATTAAAACAGCTATACTTACAGTTTAGTCAGATTGGGAAACTTTGAAAACATGGAGTCGTAGAGCTCGCTTATCATGTTGTGACTCATATCTCTGAAATGGAGAATATGCACTCGGGATTAGGGAAATAAACAAAGTATTTGACGATGTGACAATCTTAAGTGACCGAAGAGTAAATTTATCGCATAGCACAAAAAATAAAACACATTAAGACAGCTGGAATTGCCTCGCTTGTTATCACGAAGCTTTCAACAGCGTGAGCGCCGGCATTCAGGAACACTACGAGAGTTCTACTTTTCCCGAAGAAATTTCTATCCCTTTCAAGGTCAAGATAACAAAAAATCCTTGTCTAGCTTTGCTATTTGATAATTTTCAGCGGCGCCTGCAATGTGTAATATATGGCAGACATAGAATCGCTGAAAAGACATAGCGAAATGTCAAAGGGTACAAAATCAACCAAATAATTATGATCCCGCTTAGGAAAGGCCGACACAATCACATTCTAACATCGCACAGAGGTGCACTTACTGAGATTCTAGACGAAAACTGCTGCAGAGAGTTGTGTTTATGAATCGACGTATATTTTTTTGATTAATTTATTTTGTATATTCTGGATCGAATTGGTTTTGGTTAGCTCCTCGTTACTGCGATGTGAACTAGGCTCGACAGGCGCGTTTAAAACCATGGTAAAAATTCAATCATGATTTTAGCTCAAGTGCGTGTTAAAAGTAATAGTAGCGAACTGATGCGATAACGTTTCATTCCAGGAGATATCTATTCGTTTAAACTTAAACCAAATTTAGATCAAGCCATGTTTCAAATAATATTGTTCGTTTTGCAAAGCCTTACAGAGGATTCTAACATTTTCTTCAGATGAACCAGCTTTAAATTTCTTTCAATCGTGTTATCCTTTCTTCTCCGTTATCAGCGTCCCGTTCTAATTTTAGCGGTATCTTCTTTATCCAAACAGTCAAAATTTCTTGGCAGATTCGTAGTTTTGAAAAATCATTTAACTCTTCCTTTCCTACATGCTATATAAAGAGATAACTGTACAATTTTTCGATCTCTCGCGAACTCGGTCTGTCGATGCTTCAGGAAAACCATGAAATTATATTCGAATCTAACGGAAGTGTATATATCGGCCAGCTGGACATTATATTTTCATATCTTACGGCAGGCAGTTGACCTAGAATAGTAAATCAAATTCAGTACGTGATCTTGGGAAGACATCTCGCTATTTTTAACCTTCCTTGACACCCTCAAGAGAGAAACATACATGTGACAGCCTTTGAAACAAACATTGCAGATATTACCATAACGGCGCCGGAGAGAACGACATAACATTTTACTTTATCACTGAAACAAATCAATCGATGAAGGAGCATGCTGTAACTTACAAGGCAGTAACATTGCGAGGAATTTCAGCAGGAATGGCAGTTAAGTTATTACTTGTACAGTCAACTTCTCCCCGCGCGTTCAGCTCACATACACATGGCCCACAACGGTTTTTCGAATATGACCATCCTTCTACGATGCTTAGAAGCGAGAGAAACACCGCCATGGAACGCCATAACACAGCCATTACTCAAGCTAAACTCAGTGGCTTTGTCGCCCTCGTATATGATCTGCATTAGTTCTTACCGCTACTCGATACCCATCAATGTGTCAGGTTTCCTGTGGTCGCACAGTCGCGAATCAACACGATTGAAAAACGCCAATCAAAACAATTGCTATATTTAGGGTCGAGGGTAAAGATCAAAAGCAGAATTGATCCCTTGGTGAAAATACTCTTCACTCACATATTTTCTATTTAGCCACCTTAACTGTAAATAATAAAAAAAAAAACCACGAGATTTGCGCTCAATTAGGGGATCTTTGGAAGATAATTCGATTACAATTCATTACCTAAATTCTAAGGCATGGATGTCGAAATGATATGACTTGTACCTGGAAATCATTTTTTATTCTTTGTCAAAAATAGCTATTTTATCACTAGGGGGTTGGACTAACCCCACTCTTTGACAATTTCTGGAATAGCTTTGATGAAAAAAAAGTCAACTCAAAACTCTATCATTCGAGGTTCACAAAGAGTTTCTAACCCTTGTCATTGTCGAACTGTAGATTGGTTGAATCTCCGATTCACGTCTGAATGATATGCTATATCAGCTAGACAAAAAGTGTCAAACCATATGTCAAACAATTCTCGTCCATGATACTATTTTTAGCTCCAAAAGAGCTTTGTTGACGGAAAAATTGGAAGACCTCAAAGAGGCTGGTATTGGCCCGGGCAAAACTAGTTACTCAAAATATCTCATCAAGTATACATAAGCACGTGAGCATTTTGACCAATATTTTCAAGATCTTTCGATGACCTAAAAGGCTATAGAACTTATTAAAACAGTTGATGTACGCTAAGGAACAATGAAGCTCTCAAATGACTCCCAAGTGAACTTTGCAACCAGAATCCTGATTTAACTCAATTTAAAATGTAGGTAACTAAAGAAAATCTACAGTTTTACAATATTCATTCCCTGTTCAAGACCCAAGAGCTATCGGAGTGAGCATAAGATAGGTTGGCAATGCGAGTCGCATTCAGCCGGATGTACAAGAAATATTTGTTATCTGTTTAGGTCTAAAGAGATTACTGTTTGATTCAATATAGCGCATTCACACCAGTTTTAGCCTGAATGAGGCCAGATAAATATGTCTAAACTCTTAAGTAAAAGAAAACTTTTTATATACATTCGATGGAGTTGTCGTGCTCGGCCTCAGACCGAGGTACTCAAAAGAGTTCTCCTAAGTTCCAAAGCTCGCGCCATTTGTACACGTTCAGTGATTTGACAAATGGTGCTTCTTGCATACATCTGCAATAGAAAAAATTACCCCTTTTGAGTACCTACTGTGAAAACCACATGAATTCCCATAAGAACGTCATGTTATTACAAGGGAAAGACCAAAAAGTGTTTTGTTTAAGAATAAGGATAAACATCGCAATCCTTATACTTTAATGTAAGCCCCACAGGTTACATGATAGACCGTGTTAACATGATACGTCAGTGTTAATTTTGATATACCCTCTTCCACCTCTCCTTCCTTTACTCCTCTAACCTGAAAAAGTTAAATCCTAACGTACCCCCTCTTCGTGTTCTAGCAAAGAAGAAATTTAAGAAAGGTCGGTTAACTGAACCATCTCTTTCACACGACAGTTGATTGATTTTAAATCAAGTTATATCTCAGTTTTCTTTATCAAACACGACCCATAATCTGTACGATCATTCTCAGCGAAGTTCGCAAGGTACCATCGCTTAGTCTCCCCCCCTCTCTATCTCCCTTTTTTTTTTCCTTTTTTTTTTCCCTTCTGAATTTTTTTTATTTCTTTTTACATTTTAAAATATGTAAACCAAACCCACATTGGCATTGCTGACGTTCTGATAGTTATCCAATTGACGACAATTGATCCAATTGGGGTAAATTGGGGTGACGTTCAAAGAGCTCAAGGTCGCCTTTCCAAGGCTGTGCAGAATCATTATACAAAATGAATGGCTCGGCAGCAATCAGGTACCTGGAGGGCATGTGTATTTACAACACCCCCTTCTTGTACAATAAGTTAGTCATTCCATCATTGTCATAGGTTGCTCACGGGAGTCGTTCTTTTCTCGGTTGGGAATTCTCATATTTCGTGATTCTTGTGAACCTCAACGTCGCCAATTCTCATAAAACCAGCTTAGGGTCAAATAAGCTGAACCAGCTGTGTAAAGCCGCCAGTTTATTGCGTATCACCTGTTAAAATCCTTTCAAAGATGTTAAGCCTGCGCGTCAGTCAAGCTCCTAACATACCACGGCAAGGAATCAGCCATCGCTAAGTGATCTTGGCATTCCATTAATGTCTGTTCTTGTTTGGGGCATTTTCCTGCTGTTTAAACTATTTGCAAGTTTATTATGAACATCATTTCTTTGGTAAACTTCGTTCGATTAAGTTGAAAGCAATGCTCGTGTACTTGATTACGACTTGGGCTTATTTAAGAATAGATCATTCAAATCTGGGTTTCGAACGGAGCAGCTTTTCAGTACGAGTTCTTGGTTACTTTTACCTCAAATAATACTTAAAAGATCTCTTTATTGGCCCGTTAAGACCTGATAACAATCTTAAAGTTTAGAAAACTTGAATATTTGATAATTACTTCAACTAAAAACTGAAATATTTTGTTGTGGGTTGTGCGGGTCAAATAATGGGAAGTTTATCACATTTCGACGTAACAATCAGCTTATTTGTATGACTTCATTCAGATCCTTCATATTTACAGGGCAATTGAGGCAATCAATCATTTTTATTGTTTTGGTTTCACTACAAGGCATTGCGATAACCATCAAACCTACCCACACTCCAAGTGTGGCGCCCTGTTTTAAATCATTCTTTAGATCAGATTATACATTCCGTCGTGTAAATATCCGATTCAGTTCTCTTCAAAATTTCTAACTCGCTTATTGACGAAAAAATCATAAAGAAAAACTGAAATCCACTCAAAGCTTCAACTGGAAGCTGAACTTCACATCTTGGCGAGGCAACTGAAAACAATCACTGGTCGCGTGACTTCTTGCGCGGGAAAAAAAACAAGTTCCCGACAAGTAAGGCTAGGAAAGGATAACAAAGCGGAACTGATAAATCTATTTTTACCTCAATAAACATTTTTGGATAAACAATGATCAATCACATTAGCTTGACTTGCTCTGACCACTCAGCACTCAATGAAATTCAACGCTAAACTTGGCAAACAAGTACACTATTAAAGCAGATTCTGGGAGCGGCTGCATTGCTATATTTAAGTCATCTGTAGAGCGCTCTGATCCCTCGATTTCTTCGTTAATCTCGCGGGATCACCCTTATACAAATTGCCTCTGGGAAATTTGTACTGGTGGAATTATCAGGCTTTTTTCTTCCTACCTAGTGAAATATTGATTCCTAAAAGATACGGTTTTTTCGAAAATATCTGTTGTCTATTTGTTTGCTTTGAATAGACGTTAACAACAGAGAAAAATGTAAAGATCACTAAGACAAAAATAACTATGAATTTTAAATGTGTCGACAGACAGTAAGATCAAGAACACGCGATTTGAGCACGGAAGCGTTGAAAGTGTAGATGTGCAATGTATGATGGTTTGATGGTCACTCTTACTTAGGTAATGCGCCTCATTTCAGGTGATTCAAATCCGCTTTGTACACTTTAGGGACAAAAACCTTTAGCAGGTTCTTATAGCCACATAATAGCCTACTATGACGTGGTGCATACACCCTAGGCCATTTGTACTTGAGCTTCATGGCAACTTTGGTATCACTCAAGTTGATCTCGAGTACACGACTTATGACGCGACGAAAACAAAATTTTAGTATTGATTATGTGGTTATTCAAAAGTCCTATCATTAAGGTACTGCAGAACATTAAAATAGGAACCCAGAGCGCTTCATATCAAAGAATCATAATCATTCTTGATCAAAATATTTTATTTGGATCGATTCGATTCGCGCGAAGCGAACTAGAAAGGGGTGGGGGGAGGAGAGAGAAGGAAGGCAAAGGTGATAAGAATGAAAATGAGAACAGGACGCGAATGTTCAACAAACCTTTTCCCCAAGGATAACAGTTTTCACGAAAACCATAGCTTTTCTATATGGTTAAACAAGAGACAATCAATTACCTACACATGCTTTATTCGTAAGATCATTCGCCGTCCCCCTAGGATCATTCCTTTGATCTCGGGAAGATCTACGGATAACTTAAATCAATCCTGTTGTGGCCAAGTTTGTTCATGTCATATCACATACACCTTCCACTCATTTTTTCGTATAATGCAATCAAACTATACGCAAGAACTTCTAGCTTCTAAGTTTTAGGGGGAGTTCGGCAAGGTTGTACTCTGAGCCCTACGCTATTGATGTTGAGTGCAGGGATCCCGGCTTAAATGGTAAGACAATCCACGGTTGTGGAAGTGAAATAGAGGGCATACAGCAGAAGAAACAATAAGCCAATTTTCAGATGATACAACCTTCGCCTGTTAATGCGTGCAGAGAAACTATGAAACTCATAAATAAATCTAAAGTCATCTCAGGTCTCAGATTAAAGAAGAAGAGAGCTGAAGCAATGTGGATGGGTTTATCCAGAAAAAGTAAAGTTGTACCTTTAAGCTTTGAATCCCATTATGAACCTGTTAAATCAAATGACTAAAGAGAACAGCGCAGGTAACTATTGTAACGAATAGGAGTGTACCAGAGGAATGGGGTGTTTTCCATCTTTCCAATGAAAAGGTAATCTCCTTGTAAATTTTTTTTAGAGGTTTAGTAACCAACTCCCACGATTCGCGCGGCTTTTTTAGAGAGTATTACGTATATGAAATTCTTTCAAAAAAAATAATCATATCGCGCTTTAACACATTCAATAACAGTCATTTAAAGTTTTCAACTGAGCAAATTCAATTTCAGAATTACCCTTGGAATAACATTTGACGATAAAAACTTGCGACAAAATGAAAGAATTACCCTTCTCACTCTAATAATGATAAACTCTAAAGCCAACTTGATCCAATCATCTTTCTTATAAAGAATACGTTTCTTGTTGTAAAACGAGTGAAATGAATCTCAGCAA